GTGTGTGTGTGTGTGTACCCTTATGGAGCTGATAGTGGGGTCATGTATTTCTCTCAATCCTATACCTGCATCAGCTCGCATACTTGTCTCCTGCGGCAAATAAAAGTAGGAGCAGGTGTTATAGCACACAAAGCCACATGGAAGAACTTTTGATTTCTCTGGCTCAGTCTCTCCTTTTTCTTTTCGTTCACTCACACATATGCACCCCTACGCAAACACTTCTTCACCTTCTCTTTGCCTTTCAGTTTAATCATCCAGTGAAGAATTTATGACTGCTGGGCTTGGATTCCAGTCATTATCAACTGAAGTCACCCATGTAGTCAGATGCATTCTTTTTTTTTTTAGACAGCTACTTTTCAGTTTGCTCTACCTATAGACAACCTACAGGGACTTGTTGTAATTCATCATTTTGTCCAGTTCTTCTTTTCCTTTCTCTGAGCTAGACATCGACCTGGTTTTATAGAGTTTTACTGGAATATGCTTATCTGATAGTGCTATAGCTTTAAGAAACTTTTATCAATAAAAGTACCTGTTTGTCATTTTTGATAATAATAAGACTTAGAAGAATAACAAAACAGGTGTTTTTAAAAAATAATGGGAGAGATCCTACCAAATAAGTACACAATCTATATACAGTGAAAAATTGAAGAGCCTGATATTATGTAGGGTTTTGGTGAAAATTCCTCTGCAAATGATCCAGAAATGTTATTAAAAAATTAAAATCTCTTTCTCAAACCTGGCTCGTTTTTTGTATTGATTTCAGTTCACTTACACATTTACAGGAATCTGTTGCCTTCCTGTGCTGTTATACGGTAAACCATCACTGATGATGACTAACCATTTCTGGTCATTGTGAAGTTTTCCAAACCTCAAGTCTGTGAAATAAAACCCCTCTGTTTTCCTGGTGTTCCAATCATCCAGTATATATTCCATTTTTGCCTCATGTAGATGACCGTAAGCTCTTGTCTTAACTGGAATTGTAATGGTGAATTTCCAGTATTTGTCTTTGTGAACAGATTTTGTCATACTATTGCTTAAATCTGGGATTTCAGTATGCAGTAAATCATAATTAAGATATTGTGATAATGCAAAATCTCAGGTTAGGGCTCAATCCTAATCTAGGATAATGTTTTTGATAGCTATAACATACATATTACATATGTTTCTCAAGATACTGATACTTTCAGGGTCAATCAAATTTTGAAAATTTGGTGAAGAGACGCATGAGAACACAAGTTGAACAGCAGCCACCCCAGGAAGTTTACTTGGCTCACTGGATAGAAATGTAAGTTTATCTATTGGTCTAATATTTCTAATATCTTACAAAATTGATAATAGACCACTAAATTTGGAAAAGGGTAAAATGTTCATACTTATGGTTTCCTGAACAAGTGCTCTAGTAATGACATTGACATTATCAGCTATTATCAAATTTGAACAGACATTAATGGTTCTCCTAACTTCCTGGTAATTCCCTGACATTTAGTCAAGAACCACCTAGAAGATGGTAATTGTGGATGACAATGTACCAGTAGTTTATTTTAAACATTTAGAAACCGTGATGACCTCTGTGCTGAATACACTAGCAGATGTTAAGATCCCAGTAACATGGCTAAACAGTGATCAAAACACTAATACTAAATAATCCCTTAATTATCACATTTAGGTTAGACCCTGGAGAGCTGTCCAGGGTCTAACCTGGCTCTCGCCTTACGATAGCTGGGCTAGGCTCCAGCCCGCCCCTGACCCTGACAAGGATAAGCGGAAGATGATGGATGGATGGATGGATGGATGGATGGATGGATTTGGAGCACGTTGGCCAGAGAATCAGGAATATCACTGACGACACATACCATCTGCCCTATTATTAGGTACACTTGTTTTACTGATTTTCCCGCATAACCATCTCTAGTTTATATAGAATGGTATGAAAAAGAGAAACTATGCAGTGAGCGGCAGTTTACTTAACTAAAATCTTGTTGATGCAGGAGATCAGAGGAGAATGGGCAGACTGCTGAGAGCTGATATGGAGGCAACAGAAAGTCAAATAACCAATTGTTAGAATCAAAGGTTTGCAGAAGAGATTCTCCAAATGAACAATACAGTATGTCAGCTGAGAAAAGGAAACTGAGTTTATAATTCCCACATGCTCACCAAAACTGGACAAAAAAAAGATTAGAAAAATATTTCCTGGTTGGATGACAGTCCATTTCTGCTCTAACTTTTGGATGGTACAGTCCGAATTTGGTGAAAACCCAACATGAAAGCATGTTTCCATCATGGCTTGTAGGTTGTTGCTGGTGGTGTAATGATGTGGGGGGTATTTTATGGGCATACTTTGGGCCCTTCATACCAATTTACCATTGTTTAAACATCTTTACCATATAAAATAAGACATAATGATTAAAGTAGTGTACATGGTAAAAACTAGACAAAAGCGATCATGCAGAGGTGAATGTTAAGCTTCATTTAAAATGTATCAATAATGTCCACGGATCTCAAGTGCATTAGAAGCCTGTTCCACAGCTTGGAAGCCACAATCTCAAAACCACAATCCTCTGAGATACCGCCAGCAAACACTGATCAGCTGATGACCTATGAACTGATGACCTGTAAACATATAAACCAAATATAACAAAAAAAGATATTTATTTGTCAATAAAAAAATATTGCCCTATGAATAAAATCTCTGCAGAATTTGTATCAGTGGCAAAGACCTTTAAAACAAGACGTGCTGGTTTAACATCTGTATACAGATACAGAACAGAAACCTGTGTGTAAAAATCAGTACACAAAGTTCCCACGCGCAGTTTGATGACAGAGTTAAACAATCACACAAAACCACAGAGACTGCCAAATGCAGGCACAAACTGTAGATGCAGGCATTTGGGATAGTGACCTAAATATGTGAACAGTTGTTAGGTCTTAGCACATTTTGGGCCACTGACATAATTTGACCCTTCTGCTGAAATCGTCCAATGAGAGAAAGAGAAATGGGAATGTTGTAAACCAGACAAACAGGAACTGGGGGAGTGAGGGATGACCAGCAGAGAAGGAAGCTGTTCCAGATTCTCAACGATTACATAGTGACTCATAGGTCAAGGCTTGTAAATAGGATTTTTTTCATGATTGGAGAGCTGACTCACACGCTACTTTGATTTTAAGTAGTGCTCCCTGGGAGTGGGGGGGAAGAGTGAAGCATGGGATCGTAAAGCAGTTATCTTTGGAGTCAGGGGAGGTTTGTGGGGATGTGGCTGATGATCATTGTGGTGTATCACAATTGAGCAGCTGAAGCTGGAGCCAAGCTGGTATTTAGGATCGTGATGATGACTCAGAATCGTAATGCGGTTGTTGAAAATCTCTCATCTGCTGCACGGCTGGGTTATATTGTGAAAGCTGTTGTCAGCACTGCTCTGGCTTATCTCTTGATCAGGTTACAAGATGACTGGAGAGCTGGAGTGAATATACGCTCCTCCTTTTGACCCTTTCTAAGTTACATGCAGTAATAAAGATTGTTATGGTTACATCACAGACCACAACAAAGAGAAGAGACGGACTGCCACCGTTATAATAATTAACAAACAATATCATGAGAATAGGCTAAAATGAATGAAAAGAAGCAAAATGAGGTATGAGTGTCCGTGCATATATGTGGCACATGTTTTAGATGAAAAACTGAACGATAATACAGAGTAAGATGGTGCTGAGTGCATGGTGAGGAGCACGTATAGGCTCGCTGGTCCACGTGTAGACAGACAGAGGTTAACCGGTAGATAATAACCTTGTTGGACACCAGCCAGGTGCTCTGGATTACAGCCAATCATACTTGGCTCCACCTAGAGGAAACCCTGCAGCATATACAAAACACACAGCCCCGGGTCAAAAAGGTTCTTGTGAATTTGAGACAGCCCACTAACGGATTCTTACTGAAGTGTGTCAGTCAATTTCGATTTTAGCTACATCTCCTTTCTTTCTCCCAGTAGGTCCCAGTAATTCTGTTATTAAACTTGCATGCCTGCCTCTCAAAAAGCACCATGCATCCCTCAAATTTTGGAAAGATGATGTTAGGGTCATTAAAGCTGTAAAGTGCATCTGTGCGAGTGTCTTGCAGGTATGGAAGCCATATTATTCACTGTCACATGCAGTCACCAACCAACCATAAACATTTAAACATTTCCTATTAAATGCCTTCAGCCAAGCATAGATTTATAGAATCAGTTTAACAGTTCTGAAACCAGATGACAGTTGAAACAGTATGGAAAGCAAACTCCAACTGGATTCCATCTTTTGGCTTAGAGTAAGCTCTGTACTGCACACATATATGTACACACACACTTCAGTAAAAGCAGGTGTGTTTCCTTCATCAGACAGCTGCACACCAGGGTAAGTGCGAGGTAAAGCACACGCTGTGAGTGTGGTGCATGAGTGTGAGAGCAGGAGGCAGACGGAGAAAGAATTCAGACAAATTTAGATAAACAGTGACAGGCAACAGCAGGGAGAAGAAGAACTTGTGAGTGGCAGAAGCAGAAAGAGAAAGGAAGCAGGATTTTTTTTTTTTTTTTGAAAGAGCAAGCGATTTGCTGATTGGCAGGACTTTAAGAGGGAAAAGTAGTTTTTAGGAAAACCTTTAAAAACTGCTAGGAAAAAGGAACAGAACAAAAAGGAGCTCAGTAAAAAGAAATCGGTGGAAACAGTGCAGTGGTGAGAAAGTTTAAAACATTTTGGTGGAGTAAAGTGTTCTGATCTTTTCTCTCCTGAGGGCGTTTTTTTGGAAGCCTTTCTCATCAGTCTGGGCAGGACTCATTTGTCCCTCTAACCTTCCCATCCCTCCTCTTTTTTCCCTCTGCCTTAGTTCACCGTGACTAGCGCCACGCGATGACTGCAGGTTGAGGAGTAAGTGAGGGAAAGGGAGAGCAAGATCAAGGAGAGGAGAGACTGACACACACCTCATACATTGGAGTTTGGAGTCACTGTGCAACCCAGAAAGGTGAGCGGAGGAGAGAATGTCTTACCTAATGTTGAGCTTTCCCAGTGTGTGTCTGCATGTGTGTGCATGTGTTTTCGTGTGTCTATATGTAAACACAGGTATCATTATGGTAGAACTGGGACTGTGAAAGCCATGTCATGCAGTGGACTGGGTGGAATTTTCTTTGAATCCACCTTAGCCTCAGAGAAGACACGTATTTATATTTGAGTATGTAAACCACTCTTGTGTTAGTCATCAGACTTTGAAGTGGCTGTGACACCTTTTTCCTCCCTTAGATTAGAGTTTGGTGTGTGTGTGTGTGTGTGAATCACCAGGTGAAGCAGGTCAAAAGACAATGGAGGAAAGTCGCTGCAGCGGGGTGCACGTGTGCTGCGAGTGCCTTTGTTTTGTTTTGATTCAGTTTGAACTTTGGTTTATGAAAGATCAAACAAAAAACTTGTCCTGCTTCAGCAGTGGACAGCTAGTAAAAGAGTCAAGACCTCATCTGGTCACAATATGGTTTGCATGAACATTTTGCTGCCACATAATAAAATAAATTAAGCATTTCTTTTAAGTTTTGTATGTTTACAGGACATCAGCTGTTATGTTAGCAATGAGAAGCAGAAAACAGCTGCAACAGACTAATATTACAAGAGTCTGTGTAGACTTTGTAAGTGTGCGTTATCTTTTTTGAACACCAAAAAGTAGCAGAGAAGAAGCTACAGCGGTGATCCTGCCTATACCTGTTTGCTGTAATACTGTTTACACATTGCTTCTACATGCTCCACATTTAGACTTAAGTATTTCTTTTTTCTTCTGCCTCTCATTCACCTTCCGATTGATTCATCTCTGTGTTGTGGTTATCTTGATTTGCTTTTAGCCCACCGGTGACAGCTCAGAGCTAAGAGCTTCCAGGGTGTGGCGAGGAACCTAATGGTGGGGTTAAGGTAGAGCAGAGAGAGAGAGGTCACAGGAATGTTTGGGGTTTTTTTTTTTCACTCACTACTTCCACAGTGAATATACCCAGCCCCCAACTTACATGCCTCCAACCAACCCGTGTTTCCTTGGCTTGCACTGAGCCCTCCACTTCCCCTCCCTTTCATCCCCACACCCACTTTATCCTCCCCTGCTCCGCAAGTGGAACCTGCTCAGTCATGCCAGTCTACCTCCCTGTGCCAGCCTGACTACCACACTCATTTGAAAGGTGGAAAACTCATCCTCACTGCTGCCAGGTGTGGCATTCCCCCTGTAAGTGTAATGCTGTATTTTGCCAGGTGTGCCATCATGATGTCTGAGTGAAGGAGACAGTTATACTTTGGGTCCTGGTCGGCGAACGCTTTGTTTCAGCGGTGAACAACATAACTCCAAAAATGCTGATCCAATATTTTGTTGCGATATGTGTACTTATTACATATTTGCTGTCCACTGCTGTCAGCGCTGTCAATTATTGCCTTAGGTTACTTTGCTCCACTTCCAAGGGAAATTGTGCGTCTATGTGTGTGTTCTGTGAGACAGACTGAGCAGCAGCAAGGCTATAAACTTTGCAATTATGAGTTCATAAAATGTGTTGTGTGTTCTGTGCATGCAAGTGTGTTTTCTAATGCTTCTGAAGTCTGTTTATTTCTTGTTGCTACCTTACTCCAAAGCATCCATAAGATTTTATATACCACACAGATTTTATATACCTTTAACAGTGACTCGAAAAGAAGGTACAAATGCAGTGATCAGTAGACAAGGTACCAGATTTGTCCATCAGCAATCAGAGTCATGTTCACAATATAGAGGGACAAAGCAGGTATTCCTTTAAAAGCTTTATAAGAGGATTGATTGATTTATGAGGTCGTAGGCGGGAGTGAGGTCAGGAATCCAGGTGTACGGGGATGTACATGCATAATCTGATGAGAACAACAGAATGGACGAGTGATGTTTGACATGAAGTTGGTGTGCCCTGAAAATGTTGGCTGAGTGAAACAAGAAGATAAAGGTGTCATTGATAGTCAAGGGAATAAAACCCCAGGCAGTTAGCAAAAGGAGTGGTGCAGATGGAAGGAGAAGGGTGTGTCAGAGGTGGGAGACAGCACTGAAGAGTGACAGTCCAGCTGTATGACAGGCCTGCTGCCTTGAGCTCTTGAAACACCCAGAAAATGCTGCAAGAATAGAAACCATATCAGTGCTGCAGACCTTTTACCTAAGATTACTTCTCCCCCTTTTGTCCCTCCCCTTAAGATACCCTTTCCATCCTCTGTCCTCTAGCATTGTTATGTTTTTCATTAGCCATTTTCAACCTCTGAAGCTGGGCACGTTTCTGGGGCAGTCTTATATCCTTGTTTCAGATCTTTGCTGGGGTCTCTTTGACCTCTGCATATAGCGCTGCCTTCTTTTTTACTTTCTTTTATCTTGTAAATTTGGCTTAGTATCAAAGCTAATCCAATGACCGCATAATGCAGCGTGTTATTAAATCACATATAGCAGTCTCTGGAGCAGTCTTTTTTTCAAACTGCCAGTCTAAATCGGATTTGTTTTTCATTTGAAAGGCAGCTCAATTTAAAGAAAATATTTGGCATGTACCAGCCTCTTGCATTTGTATGTACATGTACAGATGTATGCACAGAGCAAGGCACACAGTGCATTCTCACTAGCTGGAAAAGCTAACACATGCAAGCCCTCACTTGCTCCCTTGCATTTATTAATTCAGGCAAGGATATCTCAATATGCCCTTAGAGATGAATTAAATAAAACCTCAACCAAAAAAAAAACCAAGTAAAACACTGTTTTGTATTGTCGCAGTATTTTAACGTGATGCATGCAAGGCGCTGACAAGCTGATGCATTGTCATACACTACTTTGAAATACGAGCAGCCAAAATCTTAGAAATATTGTATTTTTTATGACTAAATCATTCCGAATTGAACTAACATTATGTATATAGACCTATATAAGTGCGGGCTTATAAAAATACTTCTGTTTTACAGTATAAATTGCTGTGTTTTAGCTTCCATTACATGATGCTGCCATTGAATGTTCGTATATTCGTCTCTGACAGGCAGCACTGCAACAAGCCCTGGTGGACCAGTAAACCTCCAAGAAAAGAGAAACAAATGGGTTTAAAGCACACAGACATAGCTGTCATAGTGCCAAATCATCAGTAAACACCACAAAGTCTCATGTAGGCAGTGCCTTAGCATTTCCTTCCAGATAAGTGTCTCATCTGCTCAGCTAGAGCAAAATACCTGGAGCTGTTTCCATTGGTCCATTCAACAAGCATTTATATAAACTGTTTACTACCTTCATTTTTTACTTGCTGTTAATGGCAATCCCAGCTTTTATCAGTTAACATTTAGTCTTAAATGAGCTATAGTTTACCAAAGTGACTGAGGAATGTTGTTTTTTTCTACCCAGCATGACTTTCTTTCCATTTTCTCTCATGTGCTTTTTATCACGTTGTCATAAATCTCCCCCGGTAATCTTCGTTTGAAGGTGTTTAATCTGTATTTGCTTACATTTAGAGTATATTTCACTGGAACTATAATGATACGCAGTTTTATTTAGTCATTTTATGTGCTGGTTACTTTGCATGGAATGATTTAAGAGAGAAAGCTTTCTTTTTCCATATATTATTTTCAGTTTTTAGCACACTTTGGTTAGATGGTTACATTTAGGCAAAAAAAAAAAAAAGTAGCTGGGTAGGTTTAGGAAAAGATCATGGTTTGGGTTAAAATGCATCCTAAAATACACACTGCCTGCCTGGCAGAAAGTTGTGGGAGCAAAGTTCTCCCGTTTGCTTTGCAGGGTTGGTTTATGTGTTCAGCCCATGTCCATTTGAGTTTCAATCACAAATATGTGTATTTGTCTTCCAGATGCTTAGATTATGAATGATAGTACAGTTTCAACGCCACTGAATAATTAAATTTTTAACAAATACAGAAAAATGTGTGTCTTTAACTAAAGTGTGCTGTTATGGAAACATTTTCAGGTATGCAGGCACCTCAGCCTTTAGGCCTGAGGCACTGACATATCAGCTGTACCCTGCAACCCAGGACTTTCTCAGAACTTTAGCAAAGAACCAAAAGCGTGGGTGTGGAGATAATAATCCCCTGACAACTGCCCTGATTTTAGCTGTTTCCAGACACGTAACTTAATGAACCAAATTCCTGCCTAATGCCTCATCATTACAATTCCTGCAGTATAGCTTTTTTGTTGTTGTGTTGTTTGTTTGAAAAAGTACAGCCCTCACCCAGTTCACTGGAGTAAGATATACCATGGGATCCAGATTGTATATGTCACCTCACCTGACTGGTAAGCAAATATGCTGAGATGATAAAAAGAGGGCTGGCAAGGATGCTAACGGTGTAAATACAGAGGGAAAGGACACACACACACATATATATATTTATATTTATATATATATAGAGAGAGAGAGAGATACACACACATTTAGAAAGTGTGTACTTTATTGGTCCCCGTGGGGAAAATCCCTCTCTGCATTTAACCCATTCACTCAGTGAAGCAGTGGGCAGCCATTGGGCGCCCGGGGAGCAGTGTGTAGGGACGGTACCTTGCTCAGGGGTACCTCAGGGTAGCTGTTCAAGGGAATCGAACCCCCGACCTTCCGATCATGGGGCCACCACTCTACCTACTGAGCTATCCCCTTACACAGAACAGATTCAACATCACGTGTTATCACACTGACAGGCACATGTCCATACGTCAGACCCCGTGTGGGAAAAATTGTTCACCACATTTGACAGGCTCAAAATTCACATGAAAAAAAATCTCCCTTTCTGAGCACTTTTTATTTACATTTTTTAAAAAGCTTCTACATGTGTAAGGTTTCTTCTTAGTACTGTGGTCACACTTGGAGTATGATTACCAAGCAGAAACACAGCATGAGAGGAAAAATCAACAAATGTTAAATCCTGGACGTCACTTTCTCTTTGGAGTTATCAAAGACACACGATGATCCACAAGAACACTTTGTTCTCCTCTTATGCTCCATTTCAAAAAATGACGCAGAAGACTGG